TTTTTTTTTACTGAATCTAGTTTTGTCCTAAAATAGCCTTTTAATCTAACTCTGGACATGTAGTAATGCTATAAAAAAATGTGTTAATTTTTAAATTACTGTATTCATACAGTATTTGCATGTCTAGAAAGTTGCTTTGTGCAGTGCCACACAGCATCTCTAGCTGGCTCGTACTTCTTACCCACCTTCATAATCCCAGAGTCCAGGGAAGGCTTGACCTGGGGGGCCTGCAGGAGCTGCTGGGTCATTGAAGAAGGGACCAAAAACCTCCATCTTCAGCCCCCCTTGACCCGAAGAGAAAACGATTCTGATAGGGTCATGATTTACAGGATTGCTATCCCAGGTGTGCTGGATAGCAAACTCCATTTGCATACGAGGACTGAAAGAAAAATTCAGTCAGGATAAGAATAGTCAACGTGACTATAATGACACAGTGCAGCAATAAATTGTAAACTTACAGAGATGCACAGCATATCAGAATATGGATAAGTGTCATAAACTGTAATCCAAGAGCTAGCCCCATGTTGCCAAAGGCTAACAGACTCTTCACTGCATAAAGTAATTTTAACTGTGCTCCAGCTGAACTTGTCATGTCCTAATATATTCATTGTTCGACTCTTTATCAAACCAGGATCATATCAAATACAGTTCTGTTACTTAGTAACTTATTACTGGCAAATAGTAAAACTGACTTCCTGATAGAGGATATTTGGAACTATTTAGAGTGAATTTATTGATGTCCGGGTAGTGGTTTCAGATTATAGGCCTACATGAATTCTGGACAAATACACATTACACGTAAGATGTTGTTTCTGAATAGCAATTCAATAACGTTAACAATATAAAATCTAATTTCACAAATCACGTGACCAGTTGGCCGAGTGTTTGTTACTTTCTGATTAGCCAGGCAAGCCAGCCGTGCATAATCTCTTTCCTATTGAAAAAAAAGCATATATGATAACTCTTACCAAACGAAAATAGAAAGACTGGATAACTCAAATGGACATATCCTTCAAAAATATATCCAAGTGAAGTTTTCCGATACAGACCGGAACCCGTTTACCTTCCGATGTACATACGGAACAATTTCAGCGGAGCACATCTTCCCTGTAATTGGTTGCTGTTTATTTGCTTTGAATAGGACGGCGGAACCTATGATTAAAGTAAAAATGAAAAACATTTACGAATTTGTATTTCAAACTACTGCGTGTTACATAACATATTTATGTACTTTGTAATCGTAACTTTTTTGAAAATGTATTATGAGTCAGTCAGCTTTAACATATGAAAGGGTTAGTTAGCTAACCTAGTGTTAGCTGAGATTCATTAGCTGCATGCAAAGTGACCTAGGTAACTACAGATAACGGAAGCTAATGTTTTTAGCTAATTTGTAACATCGTTAGCCGAAGTCCTGTATTGTGGAAAGACAGTTTTTAAGACGTAAAGGCTGCTTTGAAAACTGTTGTCATATCTAGTGGACCAGTTGTAGATGCTTGCACTTTTACGCTTATGATTGCTTTGCAAAGAAACGTTAACGTTACTGGTAGTCGTCAATCATTTGCCAACGCAGATTATTGCTTCTGTATTGGTCAGTCCTCAGCATGGATGAAGATGCTCAATTTTTGCAAGACCAAGGTAAGTTAAGGACAAACGAGAGATGGGGGAATAGCTCCGGCAACTTGCGGGGTCTGCCGAATGTGTTCAAACTGATCAAATTCGTTCAATGGTGATTTATGAAATTGGGACTTTTAAACTTGTCTAGGTGTTTAAAATGTAGAGCTGTTATAAAAACGTTACCATATGACACCACTGAGACAGTACGAAAGGGAGCTACTCGACACCATGCCTGCTTTATAGGCACTCTGTTAGGTCTACTTGAACACACGCTACATTGTAACTTAAACCATGTGTCATCAGTTATTTACAACAGAACAAAAAATTAAACCCAGAGTACGGCTATTTTTAAACAAGTCTCAGAATCCCAAGACTAGTATGAGATTGTCATACATACCTAAATACATTAAAAATAAGAAAATGACATTTGTGGGATGCCTGACAAGCTTTATAATTTATGGCTAGAAATACTTTTCTCTAACTGTCCCAAAATGACCTGCACTTCACCACTATGCCAATTTTCTGAAGTCTTTTTGATGAAATGCTTTTACTGCACAAGCCTAACAATAGGACTAGTTGTTTTATGTTTTTGTCATGGCCACTTTCCTACTTTGAAAGGTTAGATGAATATGGGCCTAGCTCTCTCTCATAATTCATAACATTTAGTTTCTGTCTGCCTTTATCTGCTATGCTGCTCACTTCTCACTTCATCTCATGTTCTTTTCCCATCCATCCTTATTACATATTCTTATTCTTACATAGTGTTCTTCTCAGTAGTTTGCTGTATAATAGTCTCTCATCTTTTAATCAATCTTTTAAACAAAACTAACTTGCAATCTCAATTTTGCACAGGCACATAATTAAGATGTATTTTAAAGATGTTTGTAATGGTCTTCTTATGCTTAAACAGTACCAAATTGGTGAATTTGGTAATTGCTTTTTAACACTATAACCTAGTTTGTAGGTGCTTTTTAACACTATAACCTAGTTTGTGAAAATTTGAATTTTCATAATAGCCCTTTTTCATGGGGAAATGTTTTGACTCTGAATAGTGAATCAGTTTTAGTGGGTGTGCTTGACCTGTGCCTTTTTGTTTCCAGCCCACAGATTAAATTCTTCTCTCAGTCAATATCAGCATGGGCATGGCACTCAATCCACAATGTCTCAGGTAAAATGACATCTCTTAAAAACCTCTGAAAATTGGCAAAGATTGAAATGATACAGACTTATTACTTGGTATCAATAAACAATGTCTCTTTGTGCATTTGGTTTGGGCAGGGAATTATTCACATATGGGGGATTTGATTAATAAAATATCTGTTCTTCCTTCTGTCTACGCCTATATTTTCTTTTGGTAATGAAGAAAGCAGGAGTATTAAGCATAACTAACTAATGTGGGACATCCATAATGCTAACCCCTTTCCCCTGCATATTGTATGTTCATCAGGGTGAGGAGGTGAGACAGGCAGAGTCTCCTTCACCCTGGATCTCTGACACAAGGTCAGCTCATATAACAGTAAATATATATTTTTGTGGCTAGTTCCAGTTATAGAGAAAGCAGCCCTCTGTAAATATGAATGCACTGGGGAGCAAATGCTTGTTTTGCACAAATGACATCATTATTCTTGTGTTGCAGTATGATGGCTCCTCTCATAGCTGAGTATGATCAACACATGGAAGAAATGACTGAACAGCTGAAGAAATATGAGGTGAAAAGCATGGAAACAATGAGGGTCAAAATTTTGGGAGTGATATGTTGCTTAAGCTTTCAAACCTGAGATGGTTTGAAAATTCCCATAAAATAAAGACCGTGCTGCATATGTGTCAGAGTGCTCCTGCTTTTTTGCAAGTCTTAACTAGTTTGCTGACAACTGTTATTGTGTTTGGTGCAGCTGAGCATACCTCCCTACAGTTTTGAGCAGGTTAGCTATGCAGTGACATAGCTTTACTTAAATATACTGTAGATATAAACTAAAGTGATGGGATTGTATAAATGTAAGCGTTTGATGATGGTAAATTGAGTAATAGAAAGTTTAAAGTCAAGCTGTAAAGGTACAGCTGCTGGATGAATATCTGTTGAGCTTGACATCTCTTGATCTGAGTTTGCTTTAGTGAGTCACATATTTTTGTTGGCTTTCTGATGAAGAATATTGGTCTTCTATAATTTTATGTCAGGTGTTACTTGTTACAAAATGTATCAGGATGTCAGAATTAATTCATAATACTGAGTATTGATCTGCTTGTTGAAATAAACAGATGCTGATGGCTGATGTCAAAATGAAGTTGGAGAGGGTTGTTAAGGAAAATGAAAGGTAGGAAAATTCCTCTACTAACAACATACGGAGTGCACCTGCACAACAGGAGACATCTTCCAAGTTTTTTTTTTTTTTATTATCAGAACATCCAATATTTCTTAGCTTTCTTACTGGAATTATTGTACAGTACATTGAGTACTGTACTATTTTAAAATGCCCATGGCTGCTCATTTTGATCATTTCCAGCCATTTGATGTTTAATCTTGGGTACCTCTAGATTGGCACCCATCATAACTCCGAATAGTCTGTAATTATTTCAGAATGATAAAACTAGAGAGCTTCCTAAAAATGAGAGGGTAGTTCGTGAACATGCACAACTCCTGCTGCTGGTGTTGTGTCGGAAGTGGACAGCACAACGAACACGCGCATTAATTAACTTTAATGTCTCCTCCATAGATAGGTAAACAACAGTATATGTACCGATGAAAAGAGATGTGTAACAATCTAAACAAAGTGGGTAATTGAGAAACCCCATGTTTTAACTGGCATAATGCAGACATAGTAACTTCTCCAGCCTTACAACAATTCGCTCTAACGTTACAGAAACAAGGCATTAACAGACATGCAACATGTGTTTTTATTAAGCTTACCATTAAGTCCCACTGAGTAGTGGAAAAATCACTCCCTTTCAAGTAGGGAGGGAGGAGGTAAAATATATCCACAAAATCGTGTGCATTCGAAAAGTTCCACTTTTACAATGGCACCGTGTCAGGCAAGCTCACATTAACGTGCAACTGCCTGGAGATTATGACCATTCAAGGAAATCCTTGAACTATTATGTAATACTTAATTTTGTTAGAAAAAAGTGTCGTGAATGAGAGTTTGAGATGCGTATAAACAAAGTTGCTTCTGCATAGAAATACTAGAACATACGTGCACCTCATTTTTTTTCACTTTAGGTCATGTCTAAGATGATAATTCACCGTTGTGACATTGTAAATAAGTCGGAAAACAAGGAAAAGCATCTTTAAATAACATTACAGTGACTAGTATTACTTTGGAAGGTAGTTAATTCTGTGTTGGTAATGAAGTTATATAGACAATTTACATTACATCCAAATTAGGTGTGCATGATAGATAATAATTAAGGTTGTGATGTTTTAATTAAAATCACAAACTGTATGCAAATTGAAAGCTATTTTAATAAATGATACCTTTTGATATCTTCTATCACCTTTTCCAGGCTTCATGCAGAGCTGAGGGAGTCCGTTGAGAAGCAGCTTCTTGCATTGCCGGTGGCTTCAGGCACAGAGGGCGGCACACTGGAGGAGGAAGCAGTCATCAGAAACCTCCAAGAACAGCTCCAGCTGTCTGAACAGGTTTGCATATGTCTATATGTGATGTGTAAACCTATGTAGATTAAGTTCACAATTGTGTTTTGACAGTGTACATATTATTTGTTGTTGTGTATTATCTAAAGGGATACTTAGACATTGTAGTAAATGTTTCTGTTTTGCGGCCAATGTACACAGCATCCGGCTGCATTGCATTCTGCCTCTGTCAGAGCCATCTGAGACAATCTGCTGCCAGTCTGTGTGTGTGTGTCTGGAGCAGGACACATGTAGCTCTTGTCCCCTCTGTGCTGTTGCTTAAATGTCAGCTGGTATCTCTCAAGTGTAAAATTAATTTGTGAACGTTTATGAATACCTATTACTGGCAGTTGAAATTAATGTTTAATGATGAATTGCATTTGTACAGCAAAAGTAGTTTTTCCTATTGGTAGTTAGTGGGAGAGAAAGAGGGTGAAAAGTGAATGAGGGAGGCAATTGACAGAACCACACACCGAAAGTGCAAAACACCTCACACATCCTGCAAAATGAAGCACTGCACACAAAAACTCTAATCATCAAATTTTTGTACTAAATTCTACACACTTCATTCACATTAATTAACTTAATTTCAAGGAAATTACACAAAT